ACTGAACTCCACTCTTGTAATCTGTAGTAAAATTTGGAATTCTTTTTTTGCTTGAGGTTTTATCAGAGCTCTGATGAATGTGTACTGCTTAGGGTTTTGGTATTCAGGCTGTTAATTTTTATACTTCACACTTAACACTTGGGGTCCTGGTTCTCTACTGATGGACCTTTTAATTTTGTTTTCTTTGTATTTGTTCCTCTGCTTTTTAGTTGGTGTTTATTTTTTGAAATTCATACTTTATTTCACACAGTAGATAGCATACTGCAGGAAAGTCAGGACCATGCTTTCTCTACTGCCCAGTGCCTGGCATACAGAATGTGCTTGATACGCGTTAGTTAATGGTGTTAGGTTCAGGGCATGGGCATCCTCAGCCTTTTCGTCCAGAAACTTGACTAATCTTTTAATCCAAAGACTTGACAGATCTTTTATTTGCCCATATCTTCTCCCTCCCATGCACATCGTCTTGCTGGAGGCTTATATTTCATGCTTACAACCAAATATTTTTCCACTGGAATCCTAATTTTATGTATTAATTTCAAATGTAATTTTCCAAGAGCATGATTATTCATGCAGAATTTGCCAGTGTCAAAGCATCAGTCAGTGCTAGGAGAACCAATTTAGAGTAGTCAGAAGTAACAGAGACTACTAATTAAATTGCTGAGGTTTAGTAACTTCTATTTTCTCCAAAGAGAAACTTTTCCTGACAAGAATTTTGTAAGGAGGCAACTATATAGCAATAGGACACTGTGAGTGTGACTGCAAGTAGAAATTGATTTAGGGGATGGTGGAAGGGATATTGTGTGAGAGCAAGGCTAATGTTATGGAATATTAGCAAGAAACTGTCTATTACCGTGGCTTACTACCATTTAACAAATATTGATTGAGACCCTATCATGTGATAGCCATTATGATAAGAACAAAGGAAACAAAGGGTAAAAGATGTCTCCACGATTCAGGGAGCTCAAGGTCACCCTAGGAAGAGCAGGTGACTGCCTCCAGGAAGACAGATTAGATGCGAAGCCCATTCAACCAAGATCCTGTTCTTAGTACCACGTGAATGACCTTGTTTAAATGGGAGATTGGTTGGAGGTAGAAGAGAAGGGGAGAAGAGAATGAGCTTATGTCCCAGAATAAAACTCCAACTTTTCTACTCATAGAAATAGAGCATGGTAAGACTTTTCTCTAAGGAGATAGAGAAAATTTGGCTAGGATTGGATCTGGGTATTGGTATAAAAATCCAGGTTTAAAAGAGCCAGAAACATACATCTACATCTGCAAAGATCAATGAAACACACACACACATACACACACATGTGCACACCGCCTTTCTGGCTTACTGGTCCGTTTATCTTCCATTCCTTGACTGATGATATAATCGGTTTCAGATGCAAGATTAAAATAGTCATTTTAATATGATGACTACAGTTAAGAGTGCTGTATAGTATATTTGAAAATTGTTAAGAAAGTAGATCTTCAAAGTTTTCATCACAAGGAAAAAAACTTTTTTTTTTCTTTTTATATCTATGTGAGCTGATGGATGTTAACTAAACTTCTTGTGATAATCATCTCACAATACATGTAAGTCAAGTCATTATGCCCTATACCTTAAAATTATACAGTTCCGTATGTCAGTTATAGCTAAATAAAATTGGAGGGGGGGGTATCATTTTATCCAAAGGCTCAACATTTCAAAGACATATACTATAAAGAAGAAAGCTCTTGCGTATTATTATATTCTTCACACTGTCATTTAAAATGATATTCACTCAAATATTAGTACCAGTAATATGCCAGACACTATGTTAGCCCTCGAGGGCTACAATGATGGGCAAAAACTGACTCATCTTTGACATGCTAGAGCTTAAAGTCTAATGATTGGAGAAAGGCATCAAACAATCATCAACTAAACATGCAATTTAAAACTGTTAAACTTGAGAAGTATGGAAAGTCAGGCCTGGTTGGAGGATCAGGGAAAATTTTCCTGGAGGAATGATACTTAAGCTGATATTTGAGAATAAGCTAGAGGTAACCAGACAAGGATGGATGTGGTCTTCCAGGCAGAAGGTTGTTGCAAAGCCCAAGGGATAGAAAAGAGTATGGCAAGTTAAGAGGCCAAGGAACACAAGATGTGTTGTTGGGGTTAGAGCACAGGGAGGGAGGGCAGAGGGGGAGGCAGGGGCCTACATACAGTCTTCTACTTGTAGAGTGTCGTACCAGTTTAGAATTTATCCTCAAGGCAAAGGCAGATTGTTAAATAGCTATATGCATAGAAGTTACGTGACTGATTTGTTTTTTAAAGATCACTTTGGCTGTGAGATAGAGAGTGGATTGGAGGAGAATAAGAATTGATGCTAAAATATTTGTTCTCCAGGAAAGAGTCAGTGGTGGACTAAATTTGGGTTAGGTCAGTCACCGTGGAGGTGAAGTGATGTGGGTGAATTCGAGATATATTTAGAAGGCCCTATAAGCATAGCATTTGAAACGTCAAAGAAAAACAAACCAGGGCTTAGTAAGGAAGAGACTTTTATTCAAAAATTGGCAAAGGTTTTTGCTCCTATGGAGCTTTCAATCTAGTGTGGAGAAATAGGAAATAAGTAGAATACATTTAAATATATATATTTAATATGTATATATGTTAAATATATATATGTGTGTATATATATTAAATATATATTATATATACACACATGCACACATACACATACACACACATATATATGTATGAGTGTGTGTATGTATGTATGTATGTATGTATAGGATAAATACTTTGGAGTAAAGTTAATCTGAGAAAGAAAGAGGATGGGGAAGTACCAGAATGTTGCTCTGTGTGGCTTAGTGGGGAGGCTGGTGTGTGTGCCCTTTGAGACTACAGGCACAGTTAAGCTAATTTGCTTTTGGTAAAATTTAGCAGTTGGTAGATTTCCCTTCCTTCCGTGGCCCCGCCTTCCTTCCTTTCATCCCTTAGCGCATAGCATCTGTGATATTGACTATGTTAGTCACTAGGGAATGTAAAGATGGATGTTTCTTTTCTCCACTTATCTCCCTGCCTTCTACCTATGTTCTTCCCAATTCATTCCACAAAGGATAAGACACATGAAAACAAATAGGAAGTGATCCATCTATTAATTACTCTGCTGGAGCCATGCAGATCTGCTGGAGCCACGCGGATCTGCTGGAGTGGTTTGGGGTCTGAAAGCCAAATTGTCCCGTTGGTACCCAAGGGTCCAGTGCAGCTCCTGAGTGCACTGTAGGAAATCATGATAGAATTGGCACTATGGGCCTTATCCTGCACCCCTGTGGCAAGCCCTAAAAATCTGCTAGGCCCATCTTGAGGCCTTCTATCAGGGCGGCCCCAGCCTGCGCCCTTTGCAAGTGGTGAGTACCCGCATTCAAATTGTAGGTAGGCCCTTGAGGCGTGGAGCTATAGCTGCACCCAAGAGCTTTGCTCTCAACACCCGCCCGCCCCCCACCCCTGCCCTCACCTGCAGGTGAAGGAGGGAAAGAATTTACCAGGAAACGGCAGAAAAAGGGCATAGGGATGGAAACATATTCAAATTAATTTCAGAAATCCAGTCTTAGCTATAAACGACAGCTGTGGGTTTAATCACTGAAACCCTCTTTCCACTGAAGAGCAGCATGTGTCCCCTGAGGAGGGGGGACATTATCAAGCAGTTAAGTCATTAGAGGCTGCTTAGGGGCTGGCAGGAAGTCTGCAGGGAAAGGGGAGATGGATCCATTTGCGGCAGTGACTGTAGCAGCTCCAGGTACCTAATACCATCCTCCTAACTCCCTCTGTCTCTGAAGATTGCCTAGGAGTGTGTGTCACTGACACGGGTGAGAGGTAACACCACTTACAAGAGACCGATATTGGGCCAGGAAAGGCTACGCCTCAACCTGGACTTGAAGAAACTAGTGGACTTTTTGATTTTTAATGTTTGGGGTTTCAGGAGGGAATTGTCTTTTCCCCATCTGTCACCACTGACAATTATGTCATCAAGAGCAACTGCAACCACAGCACACCCCAACAACTTCAATAGTTAGTGCTAATGTAGCACTTTCTAACACCCCCAATGTCACGCCTTATTCATTCACTGTTTATTGACCATCACCTATGTGCCATACATTGTGCTAAGGCAATAAAGCAAAAGCTAAGGCAGCCTTACTCCTTTACCTTGTAGAGCTTACTGTCTAGAGGAAACGATTAGATGATGGAGCATCTGATGAACCCACATTTGGTCCCCAAAGATGTCAGCTCACCTATTCCTCCCTCGCTGCTACCCTAGATGGGAGATGTCACCTGATGTGAGCACTTCATCCTTTTTTCCTGTTTACCTCTCAGAGCCCACTCTTAGGGAAGTATTATCTCTCCTTGTTTTCTATCTGGGTGTTGCTGCCCATCGCTTCAGGGGGACCAGGGGCAACTGCAGGGAAGGTCATCAGATGCAAGACCTTCTTCTTTCTATTTGTTGCCCTGGCCTGTTTTAGGGAAAAGCCCTCAGCGTGGAGAGGTGGGTTGAAAGGCACAGGCTCAGAGCAACAGTTCTTGCCTCATTCTTCTTCCTTCCTTATGTGGTTTTTTCCTTCTTTGTCTTTTATCTATTTTATGATTTTATTTTTCATTTCAACACTGTGGGTGGGCTTTTAAACCAGAGCCGGAAGCAAACAGGCATCATATCAGGGGAATAATGAGAAGACAGAAGGTGGAAGGAGCTGTGAGTAAAGCAAAGTGCCGGGTGGAATCGACACTGACTGTGTGGTGCTCACAGGGCGACCGCGCCCACAGAAGAGACGAGGAGAACATTGCAGCCATAAAGTGAAAGCCCTGTCGGCTGTGAATACAGATTAGAATGAAAAGATGTGCATTGATGGCAGCACCAAGATGCGCTTGTCATGCCGTCCCTGTTTCTCTCCTAGACCTGCCTGCAAACGCCAAGCCTCCACTCTCCTCCCCAGACCCCCTTCTCAGTCATAGATTCTCCTTCACCAGTCCTCACCTCTTCCATTCGGGTCTGGATGAACACACAGGTGTTGCTCTCCTTCATAATTTTTATTCTGCCATGACTTTTCCTTTCTCCGCTGTCCTCCTCTATCAGTTAGGAATGTCTCCAGCTAAAAGTGGTAGAAAAATCCAAGAACAGTAGTTTAGACAAATAGGGATTTTTTTCCCTTACATATAAAGAAATTACAAGCTAGGATAATGCTGCCATTAGGAAATACATTTTTTTTTTCACTCCATTATCCATAGCGTGTTGGCTTCTATGCTCAGGTTTGTTGCCTCATGGTTATAACATGGCTCCTGCACATCCAGGCATTATAACCTCATTCCGGGCTCTAGGAAGAAGGAAAGAAATAATATCTGTAAGTGAGACTTTAATTTTTAAGTTCTCCACAGCAAATTTCTTGTAAGCCTACGTGCTCATCCTAAGACCAGTAATTGCAGTAGGGGATGCGATTATCATGGCTGGTTTGGACGACTCCGCTTCATCTTCTGGGGGTGAGGTGGGAGCCTACTTTCTCTGAGAACAGGAGCTCTCCACCCCTTAACAAACCAGAGTTCTGTCATCAGGGAGGAGGAGAAGCAATAGTCATTGGGTAAGTGATGGACAGTGTCTGCCACCCTTCTTTGAGGTCCTCCTTTTTTTCTAGTGTTGGTCCCCAGAGTCTCTTAATTTGGGAAATATGTGGAGAGTGGTGTCTGTTTATGCAAATATTTTTGATTTCCAAAATAAGCCCAAGGGCAGTTTCTGACATTCCATTGCACTTTCAAATTCTCAGGGCCCTGCCCTAGTCTCTGGATTAGAATTCTAATTTTAGAAGGTTTTCCAGGCTTGCATTTCCAAAAGACCCTGGTTAAACTGGTTAAATCCTCATTTTCCATCCATCAGTTTGCCTAATTGAACATCCCTGGATGTCTCAGGTTTCAGAACCCAGACAGATCTCCATTCTTTTCTCCTAACAGGTAGTGATGAAGCGTTTGCTTTCTGATGTCTTTTCCCACGGCAGTGCTCCTCAACCTACTACCTTTTCATCCTTTTTCAACTAGTCGTAAAACTCTTCTAAAAGATACCCACGTTCACCACCAAGGTGAATGTCCTCACTTTTAACATATAGTAGAGCCCTTTAACTTGCAAGGGAGTTTTACATATAATAATCATTGATCTCACACTACTGCCCTCCACATATCTGTGTCCTCCACAAGAAGACGTTGTGAGACGTTTCTATTAGCATCTAGTGTTCGCTTCATGGATAATTAGGAACAAAAAATAACCCAACTTCTGGGAATACCTGGAGCCAAACATATATCTCAACCTCATAAGCTCTTATGGTCTAATTATCTGCGATAATCTTCTCCCTCGGGACTATATGTTGCATTTTAATTTCTATTTTGTCTGGTAATGCCATTTTTTTTTCCTTTGTGTTAGCTCTAAATTTTAATTTAATAGGTTGCCCAAATCTGCCTATTTAAAAGAAAATAACCCTGGGCAGTGGGCAGTGTTGTCCTTATTTTATATCCGAGGATGCTGGAGTTGCTGAGAGGTTAAGTCTGAGGTGGCAGAGATGTTTCCTGTTAGGTACCCACTCTGACCGATGGGCACATTTTAGCCTCGAGTGCTGTGTGGAGAAGCATTGAGAATCTGTGTCCTTCACCAAGACAGAGGCTGCCGTGGCAAATTGGCAGTGACCATGACAGGTTTCATGGCAGGAGGAAGAAGATGCAACGTTTTCCTGCTAAGAAATCCAGAAATCCTCATTTTCCACTCATACGGAAGAGTTCTAGTGCAGAATTCCTCTCACCCGCTCTCTATTCCTTTCTATTCTAGCAGTAAGTGGGAAGATAGGATGGAAGCAAAGAAGGAAATGAACCCTTCAGCTTCATGAAAAGGCATCAACATTTTATTTGGTTTGGAAGCCTGAGAAGCAGAGGGCAGAAAGCTGACCAGCTCTACAAGGGAGTGGTAAAAGTGTCTTGGTATTCTTACCTTGACATCTGTAGAAACACAGGTCGCCCCTCGATGTCATGCAGCCTCATTTCAACAAATCGAGTTGTCCAGGGGGCTGATCGTTTTCTCACGTTTACTCCATGTGAGAATTATCTTTTTTAGCTGGCTTCCCACAGGAATTTATGGCATCTGGCAATTGTTTACTTCTAAGACTTCATTTAGAACAATGCAGGAGTGTCTGAAAGAAGATTTTTGGACAGACCATGATGCCATGGGAGAACACACACACACATGTCGGTGGGCATCCGTCCCAAGCCCACGGGCTCTCTCCAGGACTTGGCTCTGAACACAGTCAGAAGGCAGTCACGCCACGGTCCAATGAATTGCTGCACGTTAGGTTTTGGCAGTTTCACTCTTTGCCCCCAAGAGCTTGCATTAGGCACTAAATAATAATAATGAGGAAATTCAATTAAAAACTATTTTGGAGCCAGAGAAGGAAATGACTATAAATAAGAAAGAGAATAAGCCATATCACCTGCTGCATGGACATTGTGTAAATAGCTTGTTTTGCTTAAACATTAGCTAAGCAACATTAAATTTAAAGGGTGTTTCCATTAGCCAAAGGTATGTAATGTGTGATATAGAGTGATTATTGCAAATTTGGCCAGGTTTTCTATCTGGAATAAGAGAAAATCTGGCCAGGGCATGTCCGACAGCTTGCTCACGAATTCCTAATGTCCATCAAAAGTGGAATTATGACTAAAATAAAGGCCTGTCTTTAACTAGGTAATACTGTTTTATTTCATTTTATAGGTAATGAAAGTTTACAGGCAAGTTAAATTTTAAGCTTTTATATAATTTATTACAGGAACTGCTCACATATAGAATCAGGATAAGAATGCTCTTCTTTTAACTATAACTTCTTAATTTTTTACTTCTTGCAAATAAACAGCTTAGTTAAATAAACTTAGTTAAATAAACCACCATTAACCAATTCATTAATTCAAGTCTAATAGCCCTTTTATTATCCATCATAATCACTTCTTTATTTAAATTGAACTTTATTTAGTTTATTGTCTCTATTATTGCCTGAGAGAGGAGAAGAAATTTTATGTCATCAAGCTTATGCAGGAAAGAGTAATTTTAAGATCATGGGCTTCACAGTCAAAAAGGTTTAGATATAAATCCCAGCTTCCTTATTAACCAGCATGGACACTTTTCTTAAATAATTATAGCCTCTTAAAGCTTCAGTTTCTTTTTCCAAAAAATAGGTTATTTATTCTGTCTACAGAAATTGTCACTGACATGGGGGAAGATGATCTTCTCCCAACCTTCTTCCCTGTCTGGTGTTCAGATTGTAGGATTTTTCATGAGTTGGGCTAAACAGGGTAAATGTTGGTATGTGTTCGATCAGCACTCCAGCATCAGTCTATTATTACTCTTTGTTACCTACATATCTTCCTAAGGGATCTCCTGCACTTGCGTGGGATCAATTTCTGTCTATCTGGCCGACTCCAAATTTTATCCATACAGCTAGAATTTCCCATGAGCCTCAGACACAGACATCTGCTTACCTAACATTTCTAACTAGCTATTTCACGTTAACTCGAAAGAAGATTCTTATTATATATCAAGGCATCAACACTAGATGTCTGAGAACCATCCTTAGCCAAATAGAGTTTAGTAAGACTAAAGCACAAAGTATGTGAAGGAGACAAAGGAGAGGAAGAAGGCAAGAGCCAGACTGTGAAGGATCGTGCATGCCAAGCGGAAAATGTCCATCTTTATTCTGAAGGCAGTGGAGGGTCCTTCAGTGGAAGGCTTCTCAGCAAGTATGTAACACGGTCAGATTTAAGTTCGGTTACAATTTCTCTAAGAACCGTATAGGGGATGGTTTGAAGAGAACTTTACTGAACTCGGGCAAAGCAGAGAGAAAGCTATTGCAGTAATCTGAGGATTCAAAGAGAGTACTCCATTCCGGACAATGAAATTCCGGTTGCTTTAGATTCAAAACCTCAGAGTTGAAAGGGCTTCTACATAAGCAGGTAAAATTTTCCTTTACAAACAAAGTAGCAGGATACTCTGGAAGTTTCTCAGCCTGCCCAAGGTTACTAAGCTGGCAGATAGCAAATACCAGACTGGCATTTTGCGGTCCTAAGATACAGTTTTGTGGGTTTGCCTTGGAGAAAAAAGAATTTCAATTGTCTGTGCTTCATACATTTTTACGTGGCAGCTTCCTTGAAAGGGAACAAAACTTGAAAGGCTTTCTTTCGGTAACATTATTTTTTTCCAATTCACAGATGTGGGTTTTTAGGCTTGAGAAGGTTGTGACGTTTCTTATGTCACACAATTAATTAGTGGCAAACTTATTTAATGAATTCAAATCTCTTAATATCAAGGGTCAGTTTTTCCATCTTTGTTCTAGAGGTTTTATCTCATCTAGAGCGACATAGGCACTTAGTAGCTCCTATTTGCATTTTGACAACTGATTCTCTTTTGTTTAGATTAAAACATGGTTATTTTCAAAGAATGTCTATGTTAGAATGAAAATAGCAGGAGTTATTGAGTCAGTCAGAACCGGGTTCAGATCATAATTCCAAGATTTCCATAACCTCTTGGAACCCCGGTTTCTTCCTTATAAAATAAGGATTACTGTACCTACCTCTTGGGGATTATAAGGCTTAAGCAAGATTAAATGCACTAATTTATTTAATATACATAATAAGAACTCAATCGATGTTAGTTTATTCCCACTTAAACTAGAATACTGATTTTTGAAAGCAGGATTAAATACATTCTGGAAAAGTAATGGTATTGTTAGGCTCTGATTCTGACAGCTCAAATCATAGGCCATGGCAAGTTAGAGAAAATGAAAGACCAACGGCTCTTTAGATTAAAAGGCTGTTAATGTCCTCTAAGCTGTAAGTAGCTTTTTGTCCACGTTTATGAAGGTTGGTTTTGAATCAGGTCAGAAATGACATATATTGGTGGCATCGTCTGAGCCAGAGGATTCTCAGGAGACCTAGTTACATCATATTGGGTTGCTCTAAGTGAGAACACACAGAGACCTTTATGAATTTCACAAAGGCATGCTCTTTGCTTGGAGCATGTAACTATGTGTTGACCTTTAGTAGGATAAGTTCTTATAATGGAGCTACACTGGGGACAAACTCTCACGACTTTGTTAACCTTAGGAAGATAACAACACGGTTGACTTAACAAGCCCACTCCGGGTGTCTTGAATTGTAGAAGTGGGAGTCCCTGAACACAGAGGAAATCTATAACATCCTAACTGATGGTACCTGATGACTTTATCTAAAACAGAACAGAGGGAGTGCTTTCCATTTAAGGAGTGTGGGGAATGTGAACTAAGTAAGACTGTGTCTAGCAGAGATGCCTGACCAATTATGGGCATGCTCACTTTTACCCGTGTTAGGGTGCTTGCACAACCCCATCACATTTGCTTCTCATACTCTCTTCATATTCAGTATCTTAGCAAGGAAGGGGAATGGGAAGCACCTTTTCTAAGAGTACTACCTTTTTAACACATTTTCTAAGTAATATGCTGACACAGTTCCTGTTAAGACTATGACGAAAAGATCGTCGAAGAAGCCAGACTTTGACATGCGCTTAAAGGTAAGCTAATCCTGACTCTGCACCACGTCATCATTCTCAGGTGTTAAAATCAGGTTATGCCTCTGCTTGTAAGGAGTAGGTAGGTGGCCAGTGCAGGTGTGGGCAGCCCTGTTTTAGGGAAGAGGAAAGCCGAGTGCCCGAGATGTCAAGTGAGTTGTCAAGACAAGAAAACTCATAAATGGCAGAGCCAGGACTAGGGGTTGAGAGTCCAGTGCTGCCCACTCCATCACTTTTGCCTCTCGGGCCAGTGTGAACCTCAGGGCCCAACAGACTTGAGCTCAAAGCCTTATGTGAATGTCAGTCAGATTCTTAACCTCCCTAAGCCTCAGATTTCTCATTCGTGATATGGGTATCATAAATCGACTTCTTATGTTGATGAAATGAAATAACATATGCAAGTGAGGTATTCAATAAATGTTAGTTTCCTTGCCTTATCCGTTTCCTCATCGAGGAAATCAAGGTGCACTGAAACTTAGGAATCTACTCAGGCCACATGAGTGGTATAAAGTAAGAGAGAAGAGCAAGGATTCAACCAGTTTTTTCTGCTCCCAATTTAATGTACTTTGGTGGCATTTGCAGAGCCTAGTATGAGAGTTTCCTCCTACTTTGTTCTTGGACGAGTTGATTTTCTTTTTCCTAATTCCTTCTTATTCGAACTCATAGCTCTTTGCTTCTCACCTTCCAGTCTCTGAAATTGTAGGATTTTTTCTGATGAGTTCTGTAGAAAATAGCATTGCATCCGAGCTTATTCGTGCTTTTGGGAGCTACTTTACTTTCTGTGTGGTAACCATCATCTTAGAAATCTCCTGAAACTTACATCCTCACACTAGCAGCCTCTTAATTTACAGACTGTTTCCCCTTCTGTTCAAAGGCCTTTTCTGACTCCTTTGTTTTCCCCTTATCCATTCCTGTCTCATCTCCCTATACCTTGATCTGAAGCTTTTATACATCGTGGGACTTTATTGCAGTCTGTTTTGAAGTCAGTCACTTTCCTACTGTAAATGTACTTATTTAAGAGTTTTGATTTTTCCTTTTCTACATAAGAGAGCCTCTGGTACTGGCGAAATGATAAGATAAAGCACATACTCTGGGGGAGATGTGGGTGAGGGGCATTAATGCATCTTTTCTTTCCCTCTCATTTTTTCCGGTTTAATTCCACATAACAGATATTTTTCGAGCACCTTCTCTGTGCCAGGTGCTGTTCCAGGTTCAGAGCATATATAACTGGATAAGACAGAGCCCTTTACAGAGCTGACATGTATTATGGTGTTGCCATGAGGGGAATACAGGGGTAAATACGGGCCTACCTGATATAAAGGAAGGCTGGGTAGGACTTAGCCCTGGGAAGAGGCTAGAGTAAGAGGGTAGCATTCAGGGCAAAGAGAATAATGTGATCAAAGACCCAAAGCCAAGGAAGGGCATAGTATGTTTGGAAAACAGAAAAACAAAGTATGGCCTGAGGGTAAA